TGTTCATTCAGCAATGACATCGGAAAGTGACTTAGCCAACAGCCACACATCCCTCGCCCCAACCAGTAGTGTAGAAGAGCCAATGTGTGCAGTTTTCACGGTGCCAGCACTTCGGAGAACTAACTCAGCAACTACACCTCAGATGAAAGAGGAGGCAGCAAGTAGTTTTAAGAGGGCTGATAGTGAACAGAATCCCATGCAGAGAGCAGACAGTTCTGCATCACATCAAAGACGATCTAGTGAGTCTTCTACTGGTTCTGATGCCAGTGAATCAGTATCATTCCATTTGATGGTGCCAGAATTAAGTATAGATAATCCCAGTAATGATACAAGCCCATCTGGGTCTCCCCACAGTTCTCCTTCAGCTTCCCCAGTTCCAGTACGAGCTGCTACACAGAAACCTCCTCCACGGCCCCCTGAGCCTACTCCACCACCCATTAAGGCAGGATCTTCACGGCCAGCAACACGTAATGAACGGCGAGTCCTCAGGCGCCAGTACAGTACATATGGCCCTGCAAGTCCCACACTCATGCGTGAGGAGCAAAGTGGACACCATTCACTGCCGACGTACATGGAAGAAACTGATACTGATGATCCAAATCAACCCCCGGCACCCCCCAGTTCTCCATACCCTCTTGCTCATCTTCTATCACGGGAAGGCTCAGTCTCTCCCCAATCATTAGCATCTCCTTTATCACCAATTCCACTCGCACACAGACTTCAGCGAGATGGGTCTGGCTCTTCACAGTCCTTAGCTTCACCTGGCTCCCCTCGACTGCTAGGCAATCGTCTTCTCCGTGAGGGGTCAGAGTCTCCACAATGGCCAGCTTCCCCCACAGCAAATCGTCGTGAAGATTCAAAGGCCTCTCCTAATTCTCCTCTTCCAGCACATAAACGTGCTCAGCGTGAAGAGTCAGCATCTTCTCAGTTCCTTACACCTACTACTAATCTTCACCCAAAAGTCCGTCGACTCCACCGTGGTGACTCTGATGCCAACCAACTTCTGGCTCCTGTTTCTACACACCAGAAAGTCCGACGGCTCCATCGTGATGATTCAACCTTCTCCAAACTGACATCTCCCACTACACCACAACAATCAAAGAGTCTCCAACGTGATGACTCTAGTTCTTCTCATTTATCAACCCCTCCTGCTACTCCTCTCCCAACGTGCAAACATATCCAACGAGATGATTCTGATTCATCTCACATTCCTGAATCTCCTAGCTCAACCAAGTCATCAACACATTATCTCCAGAGTGATGATTCTGCGTCATCTCCAAGTTCTCCTCTCCCAACAGTCAGACGTATGCAGCGTGAGGACACTGACTCTTCTAACATTCCAGACTCCCCAGTTTCTCCTGAGTCAACATCCCAACCCCTCCAGCAAGAAGACACTGGAACTGGTTCCTCAAGCATGCCTACACCTCCAAGCACACCTCATTCAGTAATTACACAGCTGGAGCGGGATGATTCAGACACCACCTCTCCTGTTCTAGAATCATCAAGTTCTTCCCAGCCATCAACACCCCGGTTCTTGCGAGAGGACTATGCTTCTCGTCGTAAGTCTCCATCACCTGTTTCCCCACATGCAACAATCCAACGACTACATGCTGAGCAGTCAGGCTCGCCCAAATTGCTATCATCCCCTTGCTCCCCAAAATCACCAGCTGCCCGTTTTCAGCAGGAACATCCTAGTACCCCTCTGGGTCTCTCAGGCTCACCGCATTCTAAAGGTCCGACAATGAAGCGAGAAGACTCATGTTCTCCCCAGCCCCCAGCACCTCCAAGTTCACCATTACCAAAAGTAAGACGCATCCATCGTCAGGATTCACGAAATTCCTTGCCGCAAATTCCCCCTCCTTCACCTAGTATCCTTAAAAATCGTCGAGATTCACAACCACAAATGTCCCCAGTGTCTCCTTATAGAGATCGTCGAGATTCACAGCCACAAATGTCCCCAGTGTCTCCTTACAGAGATCGTCGAGATTCACAGACACTCCAGTTTGAAATGTCTCCTTCTTCTCCTGTGACCTTTCAATTTGATCGTCGAGAATCGCTCAAACAGTCCCAAATCCCTTCTTCTCCACCTGCAACCTTTGTCTGTCGCCGTGATTCTCCTTTATCCCAAATTCCTCCTGGTTCCCCATCATCAGCTTTTGTGAGCCGACGTGATTCACTTCAGTCGCAGATGCCTCAAATTTCTCCCTCAGCAACTTTCGAAAGACGCCGTGATTCTCCTCTGTCCCAGGTCCCCCCTGGTTCCCCATCATCAGCTTTTGCAAGCCGACGTGACTCACTCCAGTCACAGGTGCGTCCAATGTCTCCATCAGCAACTTTGGAAAGGCGTCGCGATTCACCCATGTCCCAGATTCCCCCTGGGTCCCCATCTGCAGTAGCTTATGCAAGCCGCCGTGACTCACTCCAGTCACAGGTGCTCCCCATGTCTCCATCAGCAACTTTGGAAAGGCGTCGCGATTCACCCATGTCCCAGATTTCCCCTGGGTCCCCATCTGCAGCAACTTTTGTAAGCCGACGTGACTCACTACAGTCACAGGTGCTCCCCATGTCTCCATCAGCAACTTTGGAAAGGCGTCGTGACTCACCCATGTCCCAGATCCCTCCTGGTTCCCCATCAGCAGTAGCTTTTGCAAGCCGACGTGACTCACTACAGTCACAGGTGCTCCCCATGTCTCCATCAGCAACTTTGGAAAGGCGTCGTGACTCACCCATGTCCCAGATCCCTCCTGGTTCCCCATCAGCAGTAGCTTTTGCAAACCGACGTGACTCACTCCAGTCACAGGTGCTTCCCATGTCTCCATCAGCAACTTTGGAAAGGCGTCATGATTTACCTATGTCCCAGATCCCTCCTAGTTCCCCATCAGCCTTTGCAAAGCGATGGGACTCACTTCCAACACAGATACCCCCTGCTTCTCCGTCGGCAACTTTTGTAAGTCGCCGTGATTCACCTCTGTCTCAAATCCCTCCTGGTTCCCCATCAGTAACTTTCATAAATCGACGAGACTCACTTCAGTCACAGATGCCTCCTGCCTCTCCATCAGCAATTTTCGAAAGGCGTCGTGATTCACCTTTGTCCCAGATCCCTCCTGGATCCCCATCAGCAGTTTTTACAAGTCGACATGACTCACTTCAGTCACAAATACCTCCTGTTTCTCCATCAGCAATTTTCGTTAGTCGCCGTGATTCACCAATGTCTCAGATCCCTCCTGGTTCTCCATCAGCTGCTTTTTCAAGTCGACGTGACTCACTTCAGTCACAGATACCTCCCACCTCTCCATCAGCAGTTTATTCAAGTCGTCATGATTCGCTTCAATCAGAAATGCCTTTTATTTCTCCATCAGTGAACCTTGCAGGTCGCCCAGATTCAACTCATTCTCGGATGCCACCTTCTTCCTCACCAGGAGCCTTTATTACTAGCCCAAGTTCTGCTGCTTCTCCCGATACAGCCTATGTAAGTCGACGAGATTCACTTATACTCCAGCCAGAAATTCCTTCCTCTTACCCATCAAAATCTCCCATGATTCATCAAGACTCACTAACACTCCAGTGCCAGATAATGTCCACTTCTCCACCAGCTCCATTCATGGATCGACAAGAATCTCTTGAAGCACCCATTGCCCCCAGTTCACCACCATCTCCATTCAAAGACCGCCACGATCTACTTCCAAGACAAACTGAAATCCTTCCTGCTTCAGCTATATCTCCCTGCATCATGCGTCAAGCCCCAAGCCTAGAACAGCCAAAACTTGTACGAAGTTCCCCAGTATCTCCCTACATAAATCAGGAAAATTCGTTACCAACTCAGTCAACTAAACCTCCTAGCTCTTCACAGCCGATGACACGTCAGGACTCAAGCTCCCCGCAGCCTCCAGCACCACCTAGCTCTCCACGGCCAAAACCCAGACGACTTCAGCGTCAGGACTCGAGCTCATTCCAGTCCCAATTGCCTCCTGCATCTCCTAAGTCCCCCTTCATAAACAAAGATTCGCTTGCTTTCCAGACACCAATTCCGAGTTCGCCCGGACCTTATATAAATCAGGATACACTCTTCCCTCATTCCTCAGATATCGTAAGTTCGCCTGAGGGTCACTTCCTCAGTCGTGAAGATTCCCTTTCACCTCAGCCCTTGCCCCCTCCAAGCTCTCCTCAACCGAAACCCCGTCGTTTTCAGCGTCAAGATTCATACAAATCTTTGCCCCCGATTCCTCCATGTTCCCCTAAATCACCTTTCATAAACCGCGAAGATAAATTTTTCTCCCAGGCTAAGCCAGCAGCTAGTCCACGTGACGACTCCTTGTCGACCCAGCCCCAAGCGCCCATGGCCTCTCCCAAACCATGCAAGCGAGTACACCAAGACGGGTCGAGTTCACCCAAATCCCCAGCGCCAACTAGCCCTCTGAAATCAAAAGAGTCGGGCTCACCCAGAGCTACAACCTCCCCTGTTCCCCAGCAATCAAAAACGAGCCCCACCTCTCGTGAAGGCTCAGGCCCGCCTTCCCCAAGTCATTCTGTTATGGAGACCTCCTGCTAACGCTCACAATATTCAGTGTAAGATCTCATTGTAGTGTATTTACAGAAGTATATAAACGGTAGATTCATCAGTATAGGCACTGGTTACTCGAGTGTTAGTTGTGCTAGATGTTGCTGTACTCAAGGTGTACAAATTACGGTATAAACCAGTTTTATCAGAATGAAATTCGCTGATATCCAATATATTTTTAATGACTTTATCCTTCGTAGAATACTTCCCTTTTCTATGTTCGCGGTAGTAATTGGTAGTCGTCTTAGCATTTGCATACCAAGGACTGTCACATTGCTTTTCTTTTCCTAGTCATTTACATCATCGTTTGTATTTAAGTACACTTTACATTTTTATTAGTCTGCGAATCGTAAAACGATATCTTAAAGGGCAATAACTTTGAAGATTTTTTCTTTTGAATAAAGTCTAAGAATATGAAGTGTAACAATAGTGTTTAAATGAT